TTTAGGATGACCATTTCAGTCTGTGGCAACTTGCTATTCTTGTCTGTCCATGAAGATGGGGTTTTTCTTAGTGGTGGTCATACCTGGTTAGATGGCTAGGTGAGATCCAAGCCTTTGCCCTGCCTATATTATCTTTTACCCAGTTACATGAATCTGAGGACTTACCTGAAATTTCTGTCCATGGTGATCTCTGAATTGCATCTAAGTCAGTAAATTAACTTAGCTGTTTTTTCCCTGAAGCCTCATGCTTCATGAGCAGAGGCGTCCCTCCATTCCCTCATTGTAAAGTAAGCCTTAAGCTAGTATTTGAACAGGACCAGACCATTTCTGAAGTCTCCACAGCTCTGCTTCCATAGCTGAGAGATTTAAATGGGTATCAGACTACATAAAACAGTGCTTTGAGACTGTGAAGATGGAGCTTGTGTGGCAGGCGTGCTGGCAGCAGCCCAACTCGCTGGCTTGAAAAGGCTTAGAATGATTGGTGGGGCATTTCCCACCAATCAGGGAAGGCCAGGGGAAAGGCTTGCCCCGCCCCTACCTTGGGGGTGAGGTGAAAAGACAGACCAGAGAGGGGACTAACCCCACCTCTCTCTGATTGGTCCATCTTCAATCTGGGGGCGCAACCTCCTGAGAGGAAAAAAAAGCAGCGTGCTCAGCATGCAGGCAGCTTGGACGAGGGATGACAAAGAGTGCTGAGAAGAGCTGGCTGAGCAAACCAGTGGGGTGCAGCGGTTGCTGCAGAAGTGCCTAGAAGAGATCTCGTCGGACAGGGAGCAGCAAGTGGCTGCATCCCCAGCCCTGCCATGAAGGGAGCGTGGTGACAGTGCACAGGTCAGTGCATGGAGGGCCCAGGAGTGGGCTGAGACTCTGGCACTGCACAAGGCAGCTTGGGTCTCCAGCCCCTGCACAAAGCAGGGCAGACGGTGCACTGAAGGTCTGGCAGCAGTCTGAGACTTTGGAGCTGCACCAGGCAGCTCGGGTCTCCAACCCCTGCATGAGGTGGGGTAGATGGTGCACAGGTCAGTGCACAGAGGGTCCAGGAGTGGGCTGAGACCCCTCCATGGCACACGGCAGCTTGGGTCCCCAATCCTTGCACGAGGCAGGGGGCAGACAGTACACAGAGCCAAGAGGGGCCAGTAGTGCACAGAACAGTGCACAGGGCCAAGAGCGGGCCGAAAGCAGATAGGGCCTCAAAGCAGCTGAGGGCCCCCTGCAGAGGGAGGAGCTGTCTGGCCCTGGGAGATGAGTGCAGCCTCATTGGGCCCCAAAGGAGTCGGGGTATTCCTTCTTTCTTTCCCTCCCTAAGGGTCATTTATATTGGGGCCAAGCTGTTGCGCCCGTGTAGCCTGCTATTCCTTGCTTTTCTCCAAGATCCTGCGCCTTATTGTTTGTAAACCCTGCGCCTCATGATATCTATAGGAATGTATAGATGTTTGTGGAAAACTTTTATGAATATTTAATTACCAATTTGCCACTGCTAGACCTTTTACTATTCATTGTCTAAATCCAATCGCAGTGTCAGCCTGGAGGGCCCCTTCCGTCCTGAGCCAGGAGGGCGCTGAGTGGGGAGGCAGAGCCTGGGGTCCCAATCCAATGGGCATCAGAGGGCGGGCTTCTGAGAGTGGGTCTGGGGGCTAATAGAGAGTATTTGCATACTGCATATGTATATGTAGCACATAGTTCATGCATTTTATGTATGTATGTTAATATTGTAACTTTTGTATCTTATTAAATTTGTATGTACTGTAGTTACGGTTCATCACGTGTCCTGGCTCTGCTCTGTAGGGAGAGGATGGGAGCTGTGGACAGCCAAGCAGCTATGCCTCCCACAGCGTACCTGCACCCACTAGCATTCCTTCATTTGGAGACTGGGTACACAACTGGGTACCACCCGGGTTACCCTTGCTTCCTGTGTTTGGGTCCATACTACCAGAGACCAGGCCACTTCCCTAACCAGTTTCCATGAAGACAGCTTTAAGGCAGCCCCCTGGAGCTCTGTACATACCTTTACAAAGCACCATCCCATTTCAGAAGCCTCATAGGTAGATGCCACAGTAGTAGAGTGGTCCTGTAGTCACTCTGTGTTCTGCTTCTGAGATCTGCCTTTGTGGAGATAATAAGGCTACTTTTCAGAGTTCTGGAGGTATTCTATTGTTTGCATACATGTTTTTTATGTATTGCCTCTTTCCCTCCTTTTCTCAGAAACAAATAGAGTATAGGATGCTATGGTTGGAAGGAAACTGAGAAGCGGAAAGTACACAAGTAATTAAAGGATTGGAAAACTTGCTTTGTCATGAAAGTAATCTTTTTATTGTATAAAAACAAAGGGGTGAGCTGGGCTTTCTTTTACAGTCTTATTACAGTGCTCTTCAGTATAAATTATAAAGGTACAAAGAGACAAACGTATAACAATAACCATTTTTTAACAGTTTTTGGGAAAAAATAGCCAACTGTTTTAGTGGATTGTCTGCAGTGCAATTTCTTTAAAAATAAGACTGAACGTTTGTATGTTATTCTAGTCTTATCTGAGTGCATCTATTTGAACTTGAAGCAGGAATTAATACAGTGAAGTCCTATGGACTGTGTTATTCACGGAGATGAGCTGACCAGTAAGACTGTGCGCTTATAGCCTTACATTTTATTGATAATCTTAGTGATGGAACATTAGGCTAATTTCCAGCCTTTTACAGTATAATACTGGCTTATACAGTTCATTTTAGAGTCTGATCCTATAAACTCTAACAGTCTTGTACATGCATACAGCCTTCTTGGAGTTAGTGAGACTAACTGTATAATAAAACACTTCTTGCACAGGTTAGGTTTTTCACAGTTGAACCTTTTATTCTTTACACTATTCTTAATATCATGTAGTCTTATTCTCAAAAATGTGTGGTAATTTTAAAAATGGTTTGGAACTGTTCAATGTACAGCAGATAAACCTCTGAACAGATTCTGTTAAGAATAATTAAAAACAGATTGCCTTCTTAAAAAAACCCCAAAAAGATTTTTAAAAATGTCTTCATCATATGCAAGTTTATGCAAACTTTAGTGCACTGAGTAGTATGTTTTGGTCTGCAGTGAGGAAAAGTATCTAAGAATTTTGGTAGATTTATGAAGCAGTTAATGTCTTCTGTCCTTTTATAGGAGTTTCCAGTGCAAGAGACAAGAAATTCAAGAACTAGTCTACTTAATGACACTTTGCTTTCAAACTGTTTAAATGATTTTCCTGTCCTTTTACTCCAGTGTATAGTATACAGCTTATGGAACTGTCACTTGCCCAGTGCATCTGTAGTCCAGCTGTTCAGATCTATTAACACACTCTTAGGTCTCTGATAGAAATCAGGAGTACTCCAATCCGAGTTGAAACTGTAAGACAGCAAAAGAAAATTATATTTTATCTTTTAGAAAGGGGTGTAAAAAATCCAGCCCCCCAAACCCATCCAGTCTGTGTGGCTCCTAGAGGGAATTTGGGGGTAGGGACCATGAGGGGCATAGCCTATTGCTGAATTGTGGCATATTGAGCCCCACTGGGGATATATGTTAATAGCAGAGGGGCAAGCATTCATCCCTGAAATGGTTAACACCTCTGCTGCTTGCTCCACTGCCACATCTGGCCCAAGGAGCCAAGGACATTTGACACTCCCTGTTCTAAAATATACCATATCACTGCCTTATTAGAGAAAGTGTCAATGAGAGTTTATGTTCTGATAGCCTCAGCCCAGATTTTAAACTGAAGAGCAAAACCTTAGGAAAATTTGACCTGATAGCTAATTCTCTCTTGGGGTTTTCCACTTGAGGACTAGTAGTACACAATGTACTTATCTTTAAAAACTTGACTACAACTACCCTGGAAATACAAATGTACAGCTCATTTTTTCCCCTCCTCTGCATCTCCAGAAGTTCTTACAAATTTATATGCGCTTAGTAATGAAAAGTGAAACGTGGGTGTCACAGTTTTTTGACTCTGCTGGGTATCTGGTATTGCTTAGTTCAGATTGATTTAGCAAACATTGACAATAATATACTCCAAGATGCTGAGAAATAGCAGAATTTTGAAATTCTCATGTGGTTAAAGGTGTTTTGACTTTTGTCCTTATGTTTCACAACCAGAGCCATAAAGTGAACCTAAGCATGCTTTGTGGCAGTGCTGTTTGCGGGCAGCATCACTGGCTGCATTGCCGGCAGCACAGTGGCAGCTGATCCAACAGCGTAGAGTTGCTTCTACTTTTTTTGTCTCTGCTCCACTCTGGGTTGCCACCTAGATCTGCTACCTTGCTTGCCCTTCCCTACCTTCGTTATGCTATTGTTCACAACAAACCTAAACAGCTACAATATAAAAGAAAAAAAAGATCAGTGCTTGTTTATAAACAGTTTATATGACAACATGCTGCAAATATTATGTGCTGTGTTGAGCAGGCCACATTAAATCACCTAATGTTTGCATTTTTTTTTGTATTTTATACTTATTTATTCCCTATAATTGCACTATAAATTTCTTGTTTAGATTCTTGGCTATCTTTAGGAAGCAGTCCATTATCTACATGTTCTGTAAATGTTACCTGGGACCCACTGTAACACTTAACTTAGTGAAGAATACATTTACACATGTGTTTTCAGGATTTTCAGGACTGAGCCTGAATTGTTTCATCCAGTTTAGGTTTTGTTTTCCTTTCGAAATGTCATTGTTTACATTGATAAGGTCAATTCAGAATAATGGAGTATAAGGATAAAGCTATTGATGATGTGTTGCAAAAAAAACTTTAGTTGCTAATTCCTATTCTGCTAATGTCAGCATTTGGCTTTTGAGGCCCATTCATCTGCCCAACTAAAATGTTGCATTGGGAAAGGAGGAAATAGCGTATATTTTTAATGACCTAACTAAAATGACAAAATTGATATTCCATGAGTAAATTTATAAAAAATTAAATAGCTACAGTTGTTATATCTTTACAAATAGGTACAGCTTTGTTTTTAAAATCAGTTTTCTTGTTTCTTTTTAGTCGGTGGTGAAGACTGGACGATTACTGATCAGTCACGAGGCCCCTTTGACAGGAGGCTTTGCAGCTGAGATTAGTTCTACTGTTCAGGTATGCTGAAGTTATTACATTTGTTTTGCATGCCAACATGTGTTTATTTGAAAAAATAATATTTATGTTTGAATTAAAAGGTCTGGATTTTCTAAATGACATGTTAAAATTTCTAATTTGGCTTCCATCACTTTAATACTATTTTATAATCTAGAGAGAATAAATCTGGTAAAAGGAGACAAAACCTCCATGAGAATAACAGCTGAAGTCATTTGCTGTATAATGTAAGAGAAGTGTTGAAACTGACTGGATCATATTTCATGTTAAATGAAGTTTAATAGATGTTTCTGAAATGTTACGATCCAACTCTTTGCATGTGTGTATTCCATATCTTTAGTGCATCATGCATTTATGCAGCTTATATTATGTTTTTTGAGTCTGTGATGTTTGTCTTCCACTAAACAAATCTTGCTCTAAAACATGTCTTGCAAGTTTGGCCTTCAATTTTTAATTAAGCATACATATTAGTTTTGAGCAGTTAGGATACAGCGTATCTGAAGTACTTTATGTTAGCAGCTGCGAAGTGGAGAATTTAATTTTAATTCGGACAAAGGTTTTCATTTCAAACATTCACTGAAAAATATGCAGTTTGTGCTGCTGACTGTGGGGGAAAAAATCTCCTTTGTACTGTTGCAAGTTCTTTCCAAACTTACTTAAAGATTGTTCTCTTTTTGTCATTGTCTTCAAACAGATTCTTCCCCTTTCTTTTGCTTTTTGAGCCTAAATAAAGTAGAAACAAAGCATACCTCTGCTACAATACACTATAATGCTTCCATATTCTATTCAGTGTCTCATTATTAAGGATCCAATTCTGCAACCTTTTCTATCTCATGTAAAGCTTAAATGTGCAACCTGTAAGCCTTTAGGTTTGCAATATTTTCCCTATTGGTGAACAAAAAACCTCTGGTATTTGTATTTGTCTTAATTATTTGAAGTAATAAGATCAATCTAATGAAATGAGCTAAAATATACATATCTTGTGAAAAACTTATTTTATGAACTAAAACCTTTCTGAAAGTTTTAATTCATTATGATTGATACTGTAGGCAGCCTCCTCTGAGGAGCCTAGTATTGTAGCCCACAAAATATAATCTCACTGTGTAAGGACTAGATCCTGTCATCCTTATAGACAACAAGTAATGTCTGATCTCCTCAGATGGTTTTATAGCTTACAGTAAGACTACTGAAGGCATAAAAGGACAGTAATTAATCATGATATAAAAGGAGCCAAATCTGACACTTTAAGTGTTTTTATATTGTTATTGAAAAAGAAAAATATGTGATACCCAACCAAAATACTCCAAATTGAATGCCTTCAAATCTCTCTTAAATTCTATATTCTCTCTTTTAGGGATTTTAATGTGCCACAAAATATAAAATAAAGAAAACAGAATGTGACAGAGTTCTTTTTTTACAATTTCCATTTAATTATTAAGCAGCAGCAATGCTAAAGGTTACTTCTCAGTTCATGTGAAAACCATGTACTAATTAATTTAAATTTTAAAAATAAAAGTATATGCATCAATACAAAACAGGAAAAATAAAATAACCAAAGGGGAAAAAATCACTTCAACAGTTTAATTTGAGAGAGAGACTTCATTTTATTTATGTATTTCTCTTAAGTGACTTTTATTCTCTTCAGCATTCTGATAAGAAAAACACTTTCTAAGCATTTGGTTCATTCCTCATGAGCCCATAATCTGAAACTTCTCCTTCACTAGTGGTATTTATTTAGAAAATAAAAGTAAGACAAAAGCCATTTCATAGTAAATACTATATTGTTGCAGGGGCACTTTGGTGCCTTGCTCCTATGAAGAGATACAGGTGCCGGTTGCCAGGGCAACCGCAGTTGGTCAGCTGACCAGAAGGGGGCCGGGCCTGACCTATATAAAGGTGATTCAGGCTGAGGCCAAGGGAGCAGTTCCCCTCTGGCAGCTGAGGAAGAAGGAGCTCTGCGAGAGTAAGCAGAGTACGGAAGCCTGATGGCCTGAGCAGCTTCGGGTCAAGGATACTGGGTGGAGGAAGCCCTGGTAGGGAGCTGAATGAGGGTTAGCTGGTTGGCTTGGAGTTTATGTTGTAGCCCAGGGGCTTGAGTTTTCTGTTGTAGTTTTATAAGACCGGAGG